TTATGAGGCAGCGAGTGCTATGCAGCATGATCTTCCAAAGAAAGAACGGGACCCCGGGGGTTTCGTGATAAGAATTGCTCTCGGGAACGGAAAAGAGGCTTCGGGGATGCTTGACCTCGGAGCGGGAATCAACCTTATGCCGTTCTCGATCTTTCAGCGATTGGGTCTCGGAGACTTGAGGCCAACCCGTATGTGCCTCCAGCTGGCTGATCGTTCGATCAGATACCCCAAGGGGGTAGTTGAGGACGTCCTTGTTCGTGTCGGGAGGCTCATTGTCCCGGTAGACTTTGTCGTTCTGGATATGGGGGATGTGCACGAAAACGGAAAGGATCACACTATCCTTCTCGGCAGACCGTTTATGGCCACCACCAACACCCTCATTGATGTCAAGAACGGGACCTTGAACATGACTGTCTTGGGCGAGTCCGTTTTTATTTCAGTCCGAGAAGCCACCTCTGCATCCTCAGTGAACTTTGTGGAGGAGTGCGCCTTCGTTGACATATCCGACCAGTTTGTGGAGGAGATGACTGTACGTGACTAGGAAGAGAGGTCAATGCCCCACCTTGATGACGAAGAAGAGCCAATCATTGAGCTTTTCTCAGCTGACGAGCCACACGCACCTACTCCACCCGCATTAGAGCTTAAAGAATTATCCCACCATCTCAAGTACGTCTTCCTAGATGACGAGAAGCAAAAGCCGATTATCATCTTTGCCGAGCTTAACCGGGACGAGGAGAATGAGCTAATTGAGGTGCTAAAGAAGAATCAGAAAGCCATTAGGTGGAGCCTCGGAGATATAAAAGGCATCAGCCCCTCCACTTGCATGCACCGGATCATCTTAGAGGAAGGTGCCAAGCCATTTCGGGATAGCCAGCGGTGGCTTAACCCGAATATGATGGACGTAGTGAAGAAGGAGGTGCTCAAGCTCTATTCAGAAGGGCTCATTTACCCAATGGCGGACAGCGAGTGGGTCAGCCCCATACATGTAGTTCCGAAGAAAGGGGGTATCATGGTGATCGAGAACGAGAAGAAGGAGATGGTCCCCACTCGAATCACTACCGGATGGAGAATGTGCATTGACTATCGGCGCCTCAATGCCGTGACGAAAAAAGATCACTTCCCGTTACCCTTCATCGATCAAATTCTCGACCGTCTCTCGGGCCACCAGTTCTACTGCTTCTTAGACGGACTCTCCGGCTACTACCAAGTAGCCATAGCGCCAGAGGACCTGCCTAAGACGACCTTCACGTGCCCATTCGACACCTTTGCTTTCAGGCGGATGCCATTCGGCCTATGCACCCGGGACCTTCCAAAGGTGCATGTTCTCCATTTTCTCCGATATGCTTGAGGATTGCCTGCAGGTATTTATGGATGACTTTTCTATTTTTGGTACTTCATTTTCTAATTGTCTCCATAATTTATCTCGTGTGCTTGAAAGATGTATTGGATCTAATTTGACCTTGAGTTGGGAGAAAAGTCATTTTATGGTGACTAGTGGAGTTGTGTTAGGCCATGTGGTGTCTAATCGTGGCATTGAGGTTGATAAAGCAAAAATCGATGTGATTGAAAAACTACCCCCTCCTGTGAATGTTAAGAGAAATAGAAGTTTTTGGGTCATGCTGGCTTTTATAGGAGATTTATTAAAGATTTTTCGAAAATCAGCCAGCCTTTGTGTCACTTGCTTGCTAATGATGTGCCATTTGTGTTTGATAATGCATGTGCGGAGGCTTTTGCTAAATTGAAAGATAAGCTTGTGACTGCTCCTATTGTGATTGCACCTGATTGGTCTTTACCATTTGAGATTATGTGTGATGCATTGAATCTTGCTGTGGGGGCCGTTTTGGGCCAACGAGTTGATAAATTGCTTCGTGTGATTTACTATGCTAGTTTGACTCTCAATTGTGCCCAATTGAATTATACTACCACTGAGAAAGAACTTTTGGTTGTTGTGTTTTCTCTTGAAAAATTTAGGTCTTATATCTTAGGATCTAAAGTAATTGTGCATTCCGACCATGCAGCCCTTAGGTATCTTTTGAGTAAAACTCAATCGAAACCTAGGCTTATTCGGTGGATTCTTCTGTTGCAAGAGTTTGATGTAGAGATTAGAGATAGAAAAGGGTGTGAAAATGTTGTTGCTGATCATTTGTCTCGTATTGTTCCTTCTGAACCTTCACTTGCATTGCATGAGCATGTTGGTATAAATGATGACTTTTCATATGAGCATGCGAGTGAAGTGACTAATGTCCCTTGGTATGCTGATATTGTCAATTACTTGTCAGATGGTGTCTTGTTGTCTAACATCTCTTCCCAAGAGAGAAAACGTTTTGTGTTGTTATGTAGGAGTTACTTTTGGGATGACCCACTCCTCTTCAAGGTGGGAAAGGATGAGATTCTTCGGAGGTGTGTGCCCGAGGAAGAGCAATTGGATGTCCTCACCTTTTGCCACGAGCTCAATTGTGGAGGACATTTTGGGGGACGTATGACCGCCTTTAAAGTTCTCCAATCAGGTTTATTCTGGCCAACTCTTTTTAAGGATGCTCATAATTTTTGTAAATCGTGTGACCTATGTCAAAGAATTGGGAACATTGGTTCTAGAAATGAAATGCCCCTATCGAACAATTTGCAAGTTGAGATTTTTGATGTTTGGGGCATTGATTTCATGGGACCGTTTCCCAAGTCTTTTGGATTCGAATATATCCTCCTTGCTGTAGATTACGTGTCCAAGTGGGTCGAGGCTATCCCCACATGGACATGTGATGCTAATGTCGTTATTAAGTTTTTGCGAGGAAGTATCTTGAGCAGGTTTGGATTTCCTCGTACCATTGTGAGCGATGGGGGTAAACATTTCTGTAACCGGATTTTTGAGAAGTTGATGAAGAAATACGGAATTTCGCATAAGTGGCCACCCCATACCATCCGCAGACTTCAGGGCAAGCAGAAACGAGCAACAAGCAGATTAAGATTATTCTTGAGAAGACGGTGAATTCGTCTAGGAAGGACTGGTCGAGCAGGCTCGATGATGCACTCTGGGCCCAAAGGACGGCATACAATGGAGTATTGGGGATGAGCCCGTTCCGTCTCGTCTACGGGAAATCATGCCATTTGCCGGTTGAGATCGAACACAAGGCCTTCTGGGCAATCAAAAAGATGAATTTCGATCTCGATGCTGCCGGGCGAGAGAGGATGCTGCAACTCTCGGAATTAGAAGAGTGGAGAAATGAAGCCTATGAGAATTCCAAAATCTACAAGGAGAAGACAAAAAGGCTTCATGATGCCACTCTTGTTCGGAAGAACCTCGAGCCCGGAATGAAGGTACTCCTCTTTAATTCTCGCCTTCGTCTTTTTCCCGGGAAGCTCAAGTCACGTTGGAGTGGACCGTATATCGTTGATGAAGTGTTGTCATTTGGAGCCGTCCGTTTGCGTAATCCGACAAACAACGATTTATTCTTGGTTAACGGGCAGAGAGTGAAGCCATATGTTGATGGCGAGTTCGGAAAGAGACATGTCGAGACCGTCAGTCTCGGCGACCCTATCTATGCGTGATCAAGAAATTATGCCCAGCTCCCGGCATTAAATCGAGTATCCTTGTACTGCTGTGTATTTATTTTGTTTTCTTATATGTATATATATATATATATATAGAATAATAATAAAAAATAAAAAAAATATATATTTGTCGCCGCGGGCCGCGGGGCTTTTCTTAGCCGCGTCCGCGGCGACCATTATCTTGGGTCTAGATATCATTTTCTGCAGGTAAAATTTCGCGGCCTCGGAGTTCCCCCGCGACCGCGGAGGAGAGTCGCGGCCGCGGCAACATTGTTCACCGAGGCCGCGGCGACATTTTTTTTGGTCGAGGGGTTGGCAGTCCTGCGTATGGAAGTTCGCGGCCCCGGAGCAATCTCGCGACCGCGGAGTCGGGTCGCGGCCGCGAGATATTTACTCGCCGCGGCCGCGGCGATCTTTCGATCGCCATTTCTAAATTTCTGCACATGAAAGTCCGCGGCCGCGGGGGATGTCGCGGCCGCGGCGACCGTGATATCACGTTTTAAACCCGTTGCTTGCCTTTTGAACGCATAATCCCATCTCTCACCATCTTGGAACGGAAGCCGCGACATTTCTTCTCCAATTTCAATCTCTTACCAGTTCCTCACGAATTTCGGAAAGTGGTCGTCCACATCACAGGCTTTACTTTCGAGATTTTTGCACAGAACTTTTCGGGCTCTTTCAAGTGGTCTTCGAGAACCCTAGCTCCTCCAACAGCCCAAACCATCACCGTCGCCATAGTCTCTCCGGCGACTCTCCGGCGAATCTCTCCGACCATTCCCTCCTCAGTCATCCGGCGGCCCACGATCACGAGCACCGGCGGTTCATATCCCGTCCACATTTGTCATTCCTACCTTGCTCGTGGATTGTTCGTTTCGGGTTCGAATTAGCGCGAAAAGGTACCGATAGCTTACTATACACTGCGTTTGGTTATTGTTGAGGCGTGAGGAGGCCAACTCCGGGATCGAGCCGTTTTGAATTGTTCACAAGCTTTTTAGTTCACGTATCGCACGCCACGTGTTCGATATATTGCCCGATAGACCGTTCAAATGGGCAAGAATCCATTTCGTCCCACCAAGAAGAAAACCGCCCAAGAACCGGCTAGGAAGCACAAAGCGGGCGAATCCTCCTCCCGAGATGCCCCTCCGGAAGAGGACCAAAATGACCTTTCGGACCAATACGGTGCTCTGTTCCCCATTTACTCCAGGAAGGAGGGCGAGATTTATGCCCGTCTCTCACAAAAGGAGATAGTGAGACCAAAAGCGGTGGATTGGGACCTCTTGAACGACTTGGGAATTCTGGAGGACGTGATGAAGTACCTCAAGGTCTTAAACTTAACCGACTACGCCAAAATTGAGGAGAGTTCGCATCGAACTCTCATGCTTGATTTCTTCAGCTCATTCGTTCTCGCCGATGGGAATGAATACTTCACTTGTCGGCTCAAAGGAAAGGACCTCATGGTGGACAATGCCGTGATGAACGAAGTTTGCGGGTTCACTTTCTCCGGTACACGAAGCAAGGCCCTCGACTTCGACGCTAGGAAGAGTTGGGCCGAACTCTCCCCACATACAACTTGGGATTCCACCGGCATGTCAAACGGGCTTATCGAAGACCTGGCCACTGCCGTTGTGCATCGGTTCATCTGCTACAACATTACCGGCAAAAAGGAGGCTAATAAAGTCAGTGAGGTCGAACTTTTTCTCCTATGGGCGATGCGAGCGGGAGTGCGGGTGTGTTCGATGACTTTCCTACAGAACTCCTTACAGGAGATTGCCCTCACTCGGCGTGGACTACCGGCACTTGGGCACTTTGTTACCGCACTCGCGAACCATTTCGACATCACCCCAGAAGCCTACAGATTACATGGAGAGATAGCGCTTCAGGAGAGGTCTGAGATGCGATGTCTCAATTATAACGAGCTCAAGCAGGCCGACCTTATTCGGAACCGGACTACAGCTAAGGAGTGCACAAAGCGCACCGCCTACGACACCTATTTTAAAAAGCTCCAGCAGGGTCAGCCTAATTCCGATCCGGCAGGGTCGTCTCGGCAACCGACGGAGGGAGACGAGCATGAACAGATGAATGTCGACGATGACCATTTCCTTCCGCCTCCATCCGAGTGGCCGCCGGCTCCGAATCCTCACCAGGAGATCCCTCCACAGCAGCCACCGGAATGGTGGACCACATTTCAGACTCAGTATACAGCCGACATCCGCTCCATCCACGATCGCTTCGATGCCCAGGACAGTAGATGGGCTGCCCTCGAGAGCCGACAGACCACGCAGTGGACCAGCTGGGAGACCCAGCAGACGACTCGATGGGACCAGTGGGAGACCCAGCAGCAGACCCACTGGACTCAGATGGGTACGCAGTTCGATACCTTCGCTGGCGGCCTCCAGTCCATCCGCGAGCGATAGGACCAGCAGGACGCTCGGATGAACAGCTGGGACCAGCGTTTCACTCAGTGGGACACCCGTTGGGGTTCGGGTCCCAGTCAACCTCACCAGCCACCATCACCTCCGGATGCACAGTGACTTGTCACTGTGCTTTGTATGTTCTCTTTTTCCCTTTCTCTTTTTTTTTGTGTACAGCTTCTTTGTTTTTGTTTTTGCGTTGGTCTATTATATGGTCTAACTCTCCTTCACCGCGACTCGACAATGGGGACATTGTCTGATTTTTATTGTGGGGGAGTTTTACATGCTTATGTGACTATGTGGTGGATCAGGTCTAGATTTTCTTTTTTGCTTTAGGGTTATTTTTATTTTTATTTTTATTTTCTTTTCTTTTGCGTGGACCAGTCTAGTTTAGGTTTATTTGTTCTTTGGGAGCTTGAACTTTGGTGTATTGTAAGACTAGTTGATGATTGGTTGATTGAGTTAGGGAGTTGTGATGATGAGAATGAGTGGCACATTTTGATGAACTGGCTTGGTTGTTTTGTTGACATTTATTTTACCTTGTGAGGCTTTGAGCCACATTCATTTCTTTTCTTGTGAGTTATTGGTTGGAATCGTTGTCAATTAGAATTTGCCTTGAGTCTGCTATGAAATGAAATAATTGGATTTGTGAACGTGAATATGATTGAGGCATTCTTTGTATTTCCCTTGCCTTTTCTTTTTCTGAGAATAATGTCGCTAGTCACCCCTTTTGAGCCTTATTGATTTTCTTTCTCTTACCTCGTGACGATGATATTGTGGAGTTACGTGTGTGGATTGGGAGAAAAAAAAAAAAAAAAAAAAAAAAACGGGAGAAACCGAATGGATTACGTTAAATGTCCAAAGGCTCTCTCACACAAAACAAAAAAAAAGCAAATGTATAAAAAAATGGAAGTGTTGAATAAGTGGGTAGTAGGTTGACTTTGGGGTAGTGGGAGGAACCGGTTGGTGTCAGCAACCGGAGGAGTTCATGATTACGGTTATCTGATTGAGTTGAGTTGATTTGTATTTAGCCAGTTAGCCTATATTTATCCTACCCGGTCCAAAGAGCCCACGTTACAACCCTTAAAGTCCTCTTTATTCATTGTTTCACGAATTTGATTGTTTTATAGTAGGAGTTAGACGATAGGCAAATTTACGATTGATTCGATTGTTGACCAATTTGAGTGTACCCAGTGATATTTGAGAAAGAAATTGAGTGAGGTATAAATGATACACTTCTGAACTCGAGAGTTGATGTCATTCACAATGGCCAAGCTAATAGTTGAGGTGTGTGCTTGTGATTATTTGAATTCTTCTTGGCTTAATTGATTGATTTGAGATTCGTCTTGCTTGAACCGTTGTCCTTGCTCGTTTGCTTTCTTTTCTTTTCTTTTTGTTCGGGACGAACAAAGGTTTTAGTGTGGGGGAGTTGTTCGTTCCACTTTTGTCATGTTTTTCTTCTTTATTTTATGCTTGTTTTTCCCCCCTTAGGTATTTTTCTTTGGTTTTTGGTCTGTTTTGAGTCGTTTCGTGCATATCCTTGGTTTTAGTCGTTTTTGGTCTTTTTGTTCGTTTTTTCCCGGTTTTTCGTATTTCTTGTCGGTGGTGGTGTGCAGGTTAGGTAGCTCGTTGCATGGCCATGCGAGGATTACCATCTAATGGATGAGTCGGGGTCGTATTGGAGAAGACGGGATTAAATTCCGAGTCCGGATGCGAGAACACGAGCCCGAAAATGCTGAGCTAAAAAAAAAAGTCTTCACCGCGGCCGCGGAAGAGAGGAAGTCGCGGCCGCGAGATACCCAAAAATTCCAATTTCTGGCCCGGAGAGGTCGCGGCCGCGAGATGTTCTTCGCCGCGGCCGCGACTTAGCCCTCCGCGGCCGCGAAATACCCCGCTCCTAGAATCTTTGCCACCAAAGACCCTGTCTTACTGTGATCGCTGCAGCACCTTCATGTGTCTCTCGAAGCACATATCGACCTTACCCAAAAATTCCAATTTCTGGCCCGGGGAGGTCGCGGCCTCGGAGACGGTCGCGGCCGCGAGATGTTCTTCGCCGTGGCCGCGGAGGGCTAAGTCGCGGCCGCGGGGGTCGCGACAGCAGTTTTTTTAATTTTGCGATCTTGTTCAGTTTTTGTTATCTTTTCACCTAGGTTTTGACTCTCTCTCGTTTTTATTCACTCCAGAACATATATTTCTCTTAGTTTTCATAGGATTTGATCTTGGATTGTGAAAACACTAAGATTCGACTCTTGGATTTGGATTGCTCGTTGTGTCTTCAACATTGGATTTGTATTTATCGTAAGCTTTTCTATTATTTCATTGATGAGTGATATGTCTTTGCTTCATATGAATGTTGATGTTGGATTTGTGATGAGTAGCTAAATTCGTTAACTAGGGCTAGGGGATAATTGTTCCGGTTCAATTTCGTTTGCATGAATGTTGATTCCTCAAGCTATTCGAGTTGTGCTAAATCTAGGGTTGAATTGATTGATCACCTTTTTAATCCACTAAATCGATCCTTAGAACCGAAAGGGGAGGGATCGATTGATCTAGGCTCGTTTAGAATCGGCTTGTTCGGAGACGTATTGTCTATTTGCTGATTGATTCGATAATTGTTCATTTATGTTTGTTCTCTTGTTATGTGAGTTATTGAGGATGAATCTCTGAATGAGTGAGTTTTTCGTGTCCTTTGGCCGAGTGATTGATTGTCATTTAATGTATTGAGAACCGAAAACGATTGTCCCCGACACCCTAGTCCTTCTTATCATTCTGTGAATTGTGTTTTTTTTTTTTGGAGTGTAAAATTGGAATTTCTTGTTTGAGTACCATTAGTGTTAATCGCGTAGTTGATAATTCAAACCAATCAATTGAATTAGAGTGTTTAGGATTTAATTTCTCTTTTTGTGATTGAATATACGTACAGGATAATCCGGTTAACCTTCCTTGAGACACGACCCGGTGTTCGAATCTTTTGATTTAACTCCGGTAAAAATAACTACAACACCCACCTTCAAAGAGGTGGTCGATACACGTGACCATCCAGCCTCGACCTTAATCATGATGGATTTTTCGTCTTTAAACATATGCCTACCTTCAAAGAGGTAGTCGATACATGCGACCATCCAACCTCACGGCCTTAATCATGATGGATTTTTTCTCTAAGTGACCTGCCACAAGTTTACACCAAGTGTGCTACAAAAATAACTCGATAACTCAACAATTGTGAGGCTTCAAAATGAGATTTTATTCATTGTGAACAGGAAAGTCAATTACATCATTTTTGAGAATCTTCTAGGAAAAGAAAAGAAAAAATTTAAGCATAATATTTGTTCAAGTTAGCCACATTCCATGACCTGGCGAGTGATCTCCCTTCAGCATCCTTCAACGAGTATGCACCTCCAGCATGGACCTTCTCAATTTATCACTTTCTCTTCCGTGATTTTGACCAAAACTTATTGTTATATAAAAAAATTATAACTTTCTCTTCCGTGATTTTTGACCAAAGGTTCGGCCTCCACCCACTTTGTAAAATAGTCCACTGTCACAATTAGAAATTTCCTTTGTCCGATTCCTTGCGGCATCGGTCCCACCAGATCGATACCCCACTACGCAGATGGAATAGGGCACTCATTATCGTCAACGCATCTGCAGGTTGGTGGATAAGTGGACCATGTTTTTTACAGTGCAGACATTTCCTCACCATCACCTTCACATCCTCCTTCATTGTCGACCAGAAATACCCCGCTCCTAGAATCTTTGCCACCAAAGACCCTGCCTTACTGTGATCGCTGCAGCACCTTCATGTGTCTCTCGAAGCACATATCGACCATCCTCCGTTGTTAGCTCGCAAATGTGGTCCTGCATACGACCTTTTGTACAATATTCCTCTATGTTCAAGAAACCTCCTCATCACTTTCACTCCTCCTTCTCTCAGCTTCTCCAATATTGAGACCCTCCAATCATCGACCTCCTCTATCTCCACTACTTCGGCTTCGACCACACTCTTCTCCATATGCAGCAAGGTGACACTTCTGCTTTTACAGTCCATCAAACCCTGCGCTAATTTGGATAATAGATCTGCTCGACCATTCTCCCCTCCAGGTATCTACACCAGCTCGAAGGAACTGAATTCTCCTTGTAACTGTCTCATTTCCTCAACATATCTTTGCATCCTGTCCTGCTTTGTCTCGAAACTGTCTTGGATTGGCCGACTACTAACTGAGAGTCTGAATGTACTTGAATTTTTCGAGCTCCTCCCGCCATGGCTAATTGCATTCCTTTGACGACCGTCTCGTACTCAGCCTCATTTTTTTATACTCGATATCCTACTTTGACCGCGAATTTCAGGCTATCTTTATTGGGCGAAATAAACATAATACCCAAACCACCTCTAATCTTTGACATCAATCCATCCACAAACATTTGCCAAACTCTCTCCAGCTCTTCCTCCGTCTTCGTTCCCTCCTATATAAAATCGGCCAACGCTTGTGCCTTGACTACCCTTCTCGGCACATACACGATCGAGTACTCGCTCAGCTCGATCGCTCATTTGACTAGCCGACCAGAGATCGAGGGTCGACCTAACGTTTCTCCTAAGGGCATATTCATCCGCACTTTCACCTTATGGCCCAAAAAGTAAGGCCTCAGCTTCCTAACAGTGACGACCACCGCCAACACGCACTTCTCGATCTCCGAGTATCTCCTCTCGGCACCTTGCATCACCCTGCTCACATATCAAATTGGGAGTTAAACCGCTCCCTCTTCCCGCAATAGTACCGAAATTACTGCTATCTCCCCAATATATATGTATAACACCAGGTCCTCTCCTTGCACTGGCTTAGCCAATAAGGGCATATTGGCCAGCACCTTTTGCAATTCCTCGAACGACTTTTGTGCCTTCTCTGTCCATTGAAATTTTGAGCTCTTTCGCAATGTCCGAAACAGTGGACCACTCTTTTCTGCCACCTTCGAGATAAAACGACTCAGGCCAGCGATCCGACCAGTAAGGATTTGCACCTCCTTCACCTTCGTAGGAGATTTCATCTCGACCACCGCTCGCACCTTCTCCGGATTCACCTCGATACCTCTCTTAATCACTATATATCCCAAAAATTTCCCGACTTCACTCCAAATGAACATTTCCCTTGATTTAGTTTCATACCATATCTCCTTAAGGTCAAGAATGTCTCCCTCAAATCCGCTATATGATCGGCCTCTACCTGACTTTTCACCAACATATCGTCGACATACACCTCCATGCTTCAACCAGTTGCTCCTTAAAAATCTTATCAACCAACCTTTGGTATGCCGCCCCTGCATTCTTTAGGCCAAATGCCATCATCACATAACAATACGTTCCCTTGCTCGTCATGAAACTCACCCACTTTCTATCCTCTCGAGCTAAAGGGATCTGATGATATCCCTGTGAAGCATCCATCAGACTAAGCAATTCACATCCTGCAGTAGAGTCGACCAGTTGGTCGATCCTTGGCAACGGGTATAGGTCCTTTGGGCATGCCTTGTTCAAATCACGAAAATCGATACACATCCTCCACTTGCCCACCAACTTCAACACCATCGCTGTATTAGACAAACATTTAAGAAATTGGATCTCCTTGATTTGACCCGCCTTCAACAATTTTTCCACCTCCTGCTCGATCACCTTATCAATCTCCACTCCATGGTGTCTCATTTTAGACTTTACCAGCCTCACATTGAGGTCGATGTTCACCCGTGCTCGATCACTTCTGCACTAATGCCTTTTAATTCATCAGCGGTTGATATAGGATATTATACTAGATCGGTTTAATGGATAAAAGTAATATATTGGAGAATAAACCTAAGTTTTAATGGATAAAAGTAATATATTGGAGAATAAACCTACACATGGGATAAGACACGTGACAATATGGTATTGGTCAAGCCCAACTTGGGCCCTAAGGTACACTCTCCCTATCAAAGGGGGCTAAGGTATCTCATTAACTCACTCTCTCCTCATTCCTAACTACACTCTAATTTTAGCGAGTGCTAACTTAGGCATCGGAGCCCTGACGTCGATTCCCCTCCCAGCGTTGGGTTCTTGGAGGTACGGAGGCCGTCTGAGTTGAAGGAGCCCAGGTGAAGTCCATTTCACCATATTGGCGTCGTCTTTGGGGACCCGTTCGAAAAGCCAAATGGAGTTCCAACCGAAAAAATTCAAAAAATTTCCAGCAAGCTCCTTCACCTCCACCGGCCCCCGCCACGCGCCGCCACCTGCGCCGCTGGCCGCTGGAAAACGTGTTCCGATCGAAAAATTCTTTACGTCATCAGGTAGATCTCCTCGAGGGGAACCTCTCCTTAAAGATTCATGCGAAATTCCAACAGAAAGCCGTCAATTTTGCTGTCAAAGTTTCCAAATCTAGCAAAAATTTGGTCAAATCGGGCATTCAAATGCAATTTTTCGAAGATCCGTGAGGGCTATGAAAAATCCGAGAGTACTATCGGAATCCTCTTGTCGAGGCGAATCTCTAACTACAGACCTTCATCGGACGCCACCGCCGGCCGCCGCCTCCACCACTGGCCACCGCAAAAAATGATCCGATTGGAGAATTCTATACATCATCGCGAAGCTCTTCTTGTGCTCGTTCTACCCTTAAATTTTCAAGAGAAAATTCCACTGCGAAGGTCATCGATTTTTCGGTCAATGTTTTTGGATCTAAAAAAATTTTTTGGTCAACCACAGGTCTTCTCCTCCATTTTTCCGACGATTCACTTCGAACTGTAGGCATTATTGGAATCTCCGAACAAAGGCGCACCTGCGACCAATTGCCTTCATCAGAGTGGCGACGTCCTCTGGCGGCGTCTTTTTAATTTCTTTTTCCCAGCGAGTTGCTCCTGGTTCTCTGTTCACCAACCCAGTGCAGGAAGCCTTGGTTCACGCAGCTTGGTGCAGGCCCAGGTTTTTGCACTCAACAGCCTGTGTCCGGAGCCTAAGAGGAATGCCCAGCGTGTGTCTGCCACTGCCCAGGATAATAGCACATCTCGCGGTCGGCCCAACATCTTCAATAGAGGCCCATTTCACACTAGCCCATCGCGGGGGAAGGAGAAATTTGCGAGCCGTATCCAGCCCGCGTCGCCCGCGTATATCTCAGTACCCAGCCCACAGTAGGCCCGCGTCTAGCCCGCACGCAGCCCGCCTATATCATTGCTCTAGCCCGGCCTCCATCTATATCCAGCCCACGTGACGCCCAACTGCAGCCTGAAAGCGGCCCAGCAAGCTAAACCGCGGCCCAGCGCCGCATATGCGGCTTGTTTAGCATCCAAAATCCTCCAATGCGGCCCATTTGATCGTTAAACCCCCTATAGTGGCCCAGAATGCTACCAACTTGGTCCAACATCCCCATTTTGTGCCCAAGACTAATTCGGGATGATTCCCAGTGGACGGGGAGGTAAATTTAAGTAACATTCTCATGATGAAGGTATGTCATTCATTTAAATTTTCGACTTGAGGATTTTTAAATTGGTGAAAATTGAATAATTATTTGATTTATTTGTGGATATATTATTTGATGTATTTGTGGAGGTTCATGGAATTATTTGATTTATCCGTTGAGCATATTTGAATTATTCGTTGAGATATTATTTGATTTATTCGTGGAGATATTTGATTTGTTCGTGGAGATATCATTTGGTTTATTCGAGGAGATACTTGGTCTATTCGTGGAGATACTATTCGATTTATTCGTGGAGATATTTGATTTGTTCGTGGAGATATTTGATTTGTTCGTAGAGATATTTGGTTTATTCGTGGAGAAATTATTTGATTGAGAAAAAATGTGGACCGTGATTTCGAATCGAGGATATTTAGTGATTGTCTTATCGTGTGCTTGGTGCATTTATCGGTGGGTTCAAGGAGATGGATTAAAATTATATGATTTAATATCTTGATATATTCGGAGTCTCTCATTTGGATTTTCATGTGAAAGTGTAGAATGTTATTTGAATTGATTATTCATAACTTTTTAAGCATGTCATTACTCGGGCATGTCTTAAATCGAGGAAATGGTGATGTTTGTATTTGATCTCTCGTGTTTCTTACGTGGAGCTTGGTATTGGGAGTAATTCATTTGAATTTTTGTTTCGCGCATTTGTTTAATGATTGTTCATATATGAGGAGTATGGTTTGCTGTAATTGTTGGTTGAATTCATGCTTTTTGTGACATTATGGTTGACTTTGCCTTTAAGTGGGTGTTTATATGGTTTCATATCATGATAAAGAGATGTGTCTGTAGATTGAGGTGTGGTACAAAACTACGTGGACCAATTTGATTGCTCTGATTTATTCATCTCTTGTTATTATTGCTATCAGAATTGCAAATTGGATGATGGGGATAAAATACGACAAATGGTATTTTTTTAATTCTTGCTGAGGGGAATACATGAGCATGTGGATTGGACATTTACATGCACTGCTTGGTTGCGGTGGGGAGTGGATAACGAGGAATAAACGGCAACGCATATCGTCATGTACAAACAGGAAAAGGAGGTCGAAAAATATATTTGATATTTTTTATTATCATCTCGTTCGGCGTTATTATACATTCAATGAACTAACGACAATGATCGATTACTATTCTATCTTGTTGTGTTTGGTGTGTTTCTCTTTGACCTGAGTGGCAGATCGAAGTGTTGGATCTGTTCTAAAGAAAAAATCCACTTGTTTTTGGTACGCCCCGCTACGGGGTGGGCAAGTGGTCGGTTGTTTTCGGTACATACCTTGGGGTGGGAAAGTAGTCGAGACTAGTCCAAACCTCCGGGTTAGACGACTACTTGTTTTGTGCATCCCTTGTGGTGGGAAAGTGGTCGAAGAAAAAATCCACTTATTTTTTGTACGCCGCGCTACAAGGTGGGAAAGTGGTTGCTTGTTTTCGGTACATTCCTTGGGGTGGGCAAGTAGTCCAGACTAGTCCACACCTCCGGGTTGGACGGCTACTTGCTTTGCACATCTCTTAGGGTGGGCAAGTGGTCGAAGAAAAAATCCACTTGTTTTTTGTACGCCTGGCTCGGGGTGAGCAAGTGGTCTCTTGTTTTCGGTACATTCCTTGAGGTGGGAAAGTAGTCAAGACTAGTCCACAACTCCGAGTTTGACAGCTACTTGTTTTGCGCATCCCTTGGGGTGGGCAAGTGGTCTAAGAAAAAATCCACTTGTTTTTTGTACGCCCCGCTACGGGGTGGGCAAGTAGTAGAGACTAGTCCACACCTTCGGGTTGGACGGCTACTTTTTTGGCACATCCCTTGGGGTGGGAAAATGGTGGAAGAAAAAGTCCACGATGACTAAGGCCTTCGGGCTGGGTGGTCGATCCTATTGTTGGGTCGGTGAAGACACGGAGCTTATCGGAAACCTCAGAGGCAGGTCGATGATTTCTACTTGGTCTCTATTTTGTCATATTTGTTTTTGACCTCGATGGTAGGTCGATAGAGTTCATTACGGATAGCCCGAGCAGTGACAAGTCGATGGTTTTATTTAGTTTGGTTTTGTTGTATTTGTATTTCTGACCTCAATGGAAGGTTGATGGAGTTCATTACGGATAGTCCGAGCAGTGACAGGTCCATGGTTTTATTTGGTTTTGTTTTGTCGAATTTATCTTTCGACTTCAGTAGCAGGTCGATGGAGTTCATTACGGATAGTCCAAGCAGGTTGATGGTTTTTATTTGATTTGGTTTTGTCGATTTTATTTTTCGACCGCAGTGGCAAGTCGAGGAAGTTCATTTCGAGCAACTCAGGGAGTTTATTTGCTGACCTTAGTGGTAGGTTGATGATCTTTATTTGATTTTGGTTATGTCGAATTTATATTTCGACCTCAGTGGCAGGTTGATGGAGTTCATTTGACGCTATTCATAGAGATTATTCGAGGACCTCGGTGGCAGGTCGATGGTTTTTACTTTATTTTGGTTTTGTCAAATTTATTTTTCGACCTCAGTGGTAAGTCGAGGGAGTTCACTTGGGGCAGTTTACGGAGTCAGGTTATTCAGGTCAATGGTTTTATTTGGTTTGGTTTTGTCAAATTAAGTTTTTGGACATGAGGGTGGCATCAAACATTTGGTTTTCGAGAGGATAGACAGCATGGTTGAATTTTAAATTTTCAAATGAGGGCGACAGGACGTGGTGGTTGAAAAGGTTTACATTCAAATGAAGAGAGCTCGAACATGGTGATCGGAAAACAACAAGACATAAGTTCAAATTTTTAAATTCAAGACTTGGGGGAGTGGTCATTTGATTTTCAACCTCAATGGCGGATCACTCAATTTTCGACCTCATTGATGGTCACTCGGTTTTCGACCTCGTCAATGGTCATTCGGTTCTTGATTTTTGACCTCATCGGCGGTCACTCAGTTTTCGACCTCCGTGGTCATTCGATTTTCGACTTTCGACCCCAGTAGCGGGTCACTCGACTTTCGACCTTAGTGTTCATTCGGTTTTCGACCTCAAGGGTGATTTGGTTTTCGATTTTCGACCTCAGCGATGGATCACTCAGTTTTCGCCCTCATCAATAGTCATTCGGTTTTTAGTTTTTGGTCTTCGACCTCATCGACGGTCACTCGGTTTTTCGACCTCAGTGGTCATTCGGTTTTTGGTTTTCGACCTTGATATAGCCATACAAGGACATACCGGCCCAAAAGCTCCCTACTCGATCAGGTAACCTCTCAGACCGCCTACAGGACAATATATTACCATTAACACACATAAATCGACTTCCCTAAAGTCGATTCTACCGAGAGCGACCGAGAAAAGGCAGAAATCTGTCTAGTCGACTCTCACAAGTCGACTTCACCCTGTCGACTTCCGCTAGTCGACATCAGTATAAGAAGAGCAACAAGAGCGTAACTTCCGAAGCGTCCAAACACTCTAAGTCGACTCCCAGAAATCGACTTAACTAAGACAATTCTCTGAAGACGACTTCACCTCAGAGAGTTATCCAAGCGTAGCCTCCGAATCCGCACATATCCACAAGTCGCCCTCCTAGCTCTCAAAGTCGACCCCACGCACCTCGAATAATAAAGATGTGATGACGACTCATCACACTTGCAGCATACTTGAAGTTCCACATATTACAAAGGATAAGAAGGAATCTTGTGATGACTCAGCAACAAGGGAAGGCGAATCGACCAGGGCATTTTGGACCTTCTAGGTCCACCGACCTGGGTATTTTAGGTACTTCAAGTAAGTATTCACTCCTATATAAAGAAGGTGAGGTAACCTCAAACCCTAACTCTCATTTATTCCCATTCTCCCTCATAGCTGCTGCGCAGCATCTCTTCATCACTCTCATACTGACTTGAGCGTCGGAGGCTCTACGCCAAAAACACCTCCGGCGTTGAGTTTTTGCAGGAATCCCACGGTCTAGCAACGATTTGGAAGCTGTTCAAGCAGATCTGAGCTCACATCCACCGGTTTACTCCAGATCCGGAAGTAGACTCATCATATTGGCGCCGTCTGTGGGGAGTTCTTGAAGAAAGTAAGAGCTTCACACCCAGCTCCGATCTGTTTGCCGATGACGGAAAAGGAAGGTTTGCAGAGGAATCTGAACGAGGAGTTCAGGGGAACATGGATGGACAAGAGACCACCGCCACTCTTCACCACCAAACACCCAGTTATGCAGATGATGGGGATGCCGCCATTTGGAGGGCCTCCACAACCAGGACTGACGTTGGGCGGAGAAACTCCCGTCACTCCAACCGGAGTGAAGCTGCAAGTGTTGACCCAGGCAGGAACAAGTCAAAACCCTAACCCAGATGGAGAGAAGGAGCCAACGGAGATGTCTCGACGTGAGGGAAAGCAGATACAAGAGATACCAGAGCAGACACAACCCCGCGTCGAGGAGCAGACCTTGACAGTGACGAGGAGTGAAATGCAAAAGATGATTGCTGAAGTCGTGGCTGCCCAGATGAAGCATATGGCGCAGGTCGAGCAGTAGCCTCGAGTCGAGTACCAACCCCGGGTCGAGCAGCAGCCCCGTGTCGAGTACCCGCCTCGAGTCGAGCAGCAGCCGCGTGGTGAGCAACAAGCCCAATCAAACGTACAACAGAACAGAAGGGTGGACGAGGAAGAATCCTCCATTCGAACTATTAATCCACAAGCGAGGGACGAGACGTTAGAACAACTACTGGCACAGGTTCGCGACTTGCAAGCTCGAGTCGGTGGAAAGAAGAGCAGAGGAGCAAAAGAACACCCATTCTCGCAGCAGATCCTGAGAGCCGACTTACCCAAAGGCTTTAGGGAGTTGAACATATGGTATGACGGTTCCACAGACCCGTCTCGACATCTGAGAAGCTTTGAGAATATGGCGGTGCTCCACCGCTACAGCGACCCAGTGTAATGTCGCGCCTTCTTGACGAGTCTGACAGGGTCGGCCCAGAACTGGTTTCATCAACTTCCAGCGGGGTCGATTAGGGACTTTGATGGATTCAGCTCGAGTTTTCTTAACCAATTTGCAAGTGTGAGGGTGCAAGAGAAATCCTATCTCTCGCTGATAAGTATGCAGCAAAAGAAGGGTGAGTCGCTGCGAGAGTATGTGGCGAGGTTTACAAAGGTGTGTGTCGAATGCCCAACAGCGACCGAGGAAATCAAATCAGGAGGACTGACGAGAGGACTACTACCAGGGTTATGTAAGAACTCTTTGGCCAAGCGACCTGGTAGGAGTTTTGATGACGTGTTGGGAAGATGTGCCAAATATATGAATGTCGAGGAGGCTGAAGTCGATTATTTGCAAAATGTGAAAATGTCCCAAACTGACAGTCGAGACGACAAGAAGGAAAAGAAGGGCCAATCGGCAGGAGATAGAAGGGGATCACCGAGAGCTGATAGGGGTGAAGGCCAATCTAGGGGATGGAGACCGACTCAGTACACACCCCTGTCGGCTCCTCACGCGAGAATTCTAAAAGTAATGGAAAGAGAAATCCGCGACGATGTGGTGAGATGGCCGCGGACGAGGAAGGACGGACCCATGAAACCCAAAAGCAACTTATATTGTCGATTCCACAAAGATTACGGGCACAACACTGATTACTGCCGACACTTGAAAGACGAGATTGAGAGGTTGATAAAGGCGGGCCACTTGAAGGAGTTTACATACAAAGATCGCGAAGGTCGAGCAGGAGACGAGAAAGAAGTAAGAGTCCTCGCAAGAGGGCGAGATCACCAGATAAGGAGGAACTCCCACCAAAAAGAGGAGTAATTAACATGATTTTCGGAGGGTCGACTGATGGAGATCTAATCGAGCAAGAAAGGCCTATGCTCGAGGCCGATATGTGAAAGTCGAGGTGCAGTATGTTGACGAGAGTGGACCACTGATGAACTTTGGACCTGCGGACGTTGGTGGAGTCGAGAGACCACATAATGATGCCTGATGATAACTGCGCAGATATCGGGATATGAGGTGCAAAGGGTGTTTGTAGACACCAGAAGTTCCGTAAACGTGATTTTCTATGAATGTCTCAGAAGGATGGAGCTAGACATCGAACTTACACCTCTACATACATCACTCTTTAAATTCAATGGGTTGGAAGTCGCTCCCCTAGGAGAAACCACGCTCGTTGTCGTCTTGGGGGAGGGCGACTTGAGGAAAGTAAAAATGGTGAGATTCGTAGTAGTCGATGTCGAGTCGGCTTACAACGTGATTCCTGGAAGGCCGGCACTCAATGCCTTCCAAGCAGTCGTGTCGACCTATCACATGAAGCTGAAGTTTCCCGTAGGAGATCGAGTGGGAGAGGCTCGAAGGGATCAAAAGTTGTCGAGAACGTGTTACCAGATCGCGGTCAAAACTAACCAGCGAGCTGAGGTCAAAGAAGGCAAGAGACCAATGACGAACGAAAAGAGGCCGAGAGGGAGTGACCTCGAGCCCCATGGAGAACTGATGGAAATTCAAATCGG